GCTTTGTTTATGCGGCTATATGCATGACTTATTTTAACAAATTGCGAAAAGATTTTGACTAAATTTAAATTCGACTGAACATTTGTTTGAAATTGAAAAAACTCAGTCGATTTCATGAGTTAAAAATGTTTTAATTTTACTTTATTTGTATGTATATTTTTAGCTTTAAATTTTAAGAGGTTTTGCTTTTTTTAGTATCGGTTAGGTAAAAAAGAAAAGAAAAGAGAAATCTAGAAACATTTGATATGGTTAGAAACCCATTTGCTGTAGTTATGTTTTTTTTTTGTTTTTTTTTTTACTGGTTCTACTTTTACGTAATCATAGTCATTTTTCTATTCTTACTGCTATTTTTATTACCCCACCCCTTGTAAATAAAATGATTTTTTACTTTGCTCCATTACTGAAAAAAAGAGAACAACTGTCAAGGTTAAAAAGGGCAGTTGTCTTGTTTTCTCTCGGACCCTTTTCTTTCTTTTAAATCACAACCGATTTGAAAAGGTTCGATTATCAAATAAAATAAGAAAGGACATTAAGAAGAGGATTTCCGTTTTCGTTAATTAAACCTCACAATTTGGATTTTTGTTATGATGTTAAACTTAAAAAAAAAAAAGAAACTTCAATTTGTGGTTGGTTGGTTTCACGTAATAATGAAAAATTAAACACCAATAAATTCTCTTCTTCTTCAATTAATTATTCATAAACTACTAAGTACTTCATACTTCTTCTTATAATATCTGTGTTACATAAACTGTGCATAGTAAACGTTTCAAATTGTTTCTGAATTGTCCCTCTTTTCTTTACAATAGCCTCACAATCTGAATATCTTTCGATGTATCAAAAAAAAAGTATTTCTGTTTTGATTTTACTGTGTAAAATAAAAAGTGGAAAAAATGGTTTAAAAATATATAAAATAAACGTATTTCAAATTCGGACACTATTTTTCCTTTTTATTTCGGATTCATTACATTTCAAATTCTAAGCATGTCTACGAACCAGATGAAAAAAAAAATTGTGATATAAGGGAAATAATTCAGTGTTTGGCATTATTCGGGAATCGTTTGCAACGCTAAATTTAACACTATCATGAACTGCTTGATCTTTTTATTCTTTATAAATTATGTATGAATGTTTGGATTGTAATAGCAACTCGGAAATCGGAGAGCTGAGTTCGATTTTCACTAGTTCATTATATTCTGCACAAATACTCTTTGAAAAGGTCGTATGAATTTATCTCTTTTTTTTCCTTCCAGTTATGAGTTGTAGACCTGTACCATGAAAAATGATTGTTACCGCTAAAATTTATTAAATCAATATTCACTTGAAATAAAAAGGAATTATTCTTGCAATTAAAAATATGTATAAGTTTTATTTAAAGAACCTATAGTATGTCAATAAGCTAAAAAAATTAAAAAAAAAAAATCAATTTACCTTTATTGTGATAGAACTACTAAAATTTGACTGAAACATATTTACATTTGAGTTGCAAATAGATGGGGGTGATGGAATGAAAGATGATGGCTGGAATTTGTTAGAATTTCCAGTAAGGAAATGTTTGTCTTAGGATGTTTGCAGACTAAAGAGTGGGAAGAAATTTTCTGAGTAAGATACACAGTTTATGAGAATATCTGGGAAAGATAATGGTTGACTCTAGAATTGAACAAGTTAAGATTGTAGTGATTGAGGATGCATTCTCTTGGGAGTCAGTTCCATAAAGCAGCAGTTCATAGTAAAAAGCTGTTTGAGTGGAACTTACATCTCAACAGTTGTATAGGAAGGAAATGAGGACAGTCGATAGTGATAGAGCAGCAAGTGGCTTGTAACATTGTATCTGTGAGAAAGGGGTTGTAGGGTGGAAAATAATTCATCACCCAAAAGGACGCAAAGACTCTTGAACTCTATCAAGACTGGAAAGTGAAAACTTGGCAGCTCATGTCCATATATGGCAGCAGTACTCCATTTTCTTAGCCTTGAAGGTTAGAACTATTAGAAATAAGGAATGTAGTTTGTCTGAACATTTTCATGTCCAATAGGTACTCAAGGCACAGGCCTCCTTGAGGGAACACCAATTCATTGTGATTGGTGAAAGTTCTGGGTCTGCTTGGTGATGATGGAACATCACTAGTTTAGTTTCCAAGGCACTGAATTCGGTCAGCTAGTTGTTCCCCTACTGAGCTGCTAAAGCTCAGTCAGATGAGAGATCAGCTTACAACCCCTGGTTGTCTAGTGTTTTGGAGATGCCACCAATATGCCATTGTATCATTAGCATAGATATTCAGTAATAATTGGAGTATATTCTTAGGCAGGTCATTTATGTAAAGCAGAAAGCCTGGACCAAGAAGCAAACATTGTGAAATGCCTTGGGCTTCGGGGGACTGGCCATTAACAACTACTCTCAGGGACCTACCCATTACCAAGGACTTTATGGCTGGAATAAGGATGTCCCAGGTAGATATTCATCTTCAAAAAAAAAAAAAAACGGCCTGTCAATTTGAAACTCAAATGTAGTTTTAAGTCATTTAGTTCTCTCATTGTTTAGAATTTTGGTTAGAGATTGAGAAGTTGAACATGATAAATGATTTCTTTTTTTACTCAAATCATTTAACCGGTGTACAAATGTAACCAAATAAAATCCAGCAGTTCTGCTGAGGTTGACATAAACCTAACACTGCAAAATAACCAAATATTGAACCATTCTAAATGATTTATTTAAATCTAAAAAATTGAATAACTTTGCATATACAGTTATTGCCAAAAACACATTCACATGACCCGATCACACTTTTGTTTTTATTCATTTATTTTTGACAACTTTTATTAACATATACCTTATGAAATCAAGCCACACTGTCAAATATAATAAACACGTACATATTGTTAATGATGGCTGTCACACTATGTTTGTTGCTAGACAAAAGGCCTATCCCAACTCTATCCATAATTACTATGACTTCTATTCTCTACCGTGTCTTACCAGCAAACCCTTCTCTCTCTTAGATCTCTATTTTTTTTGGTCATTTCCTCCTGAGTTTTCTCTTACTAATTTTTCTAAGGCCAATTTTTACCATTATAGGATGGTGGTGGTGCATAATGTAATGGGTATAAATGTGTAGTAATGCAATTGACCTTTTTACTGCCTGAAAAAAAAAAAAACATTTATTGATGGAAACCAAGTTAGCTGTGTTTATTATTTTAAATATATATATATATGTGAGGGTGCGTTGAAAACTTCATAGGCTGACTATGAAGGAATGATACTAGAGCTGTGAAATCTTGCATGCATTAATTTCAACTCTTCTTTTTCATAACTGCACTGTTTCTTTCTAGGTAATCTGATATCTAACTGTTCAAAGAAAGCTTCAAAAGTAACTAGCAGCAAATTCTTTGAAACTGAACAAAATTTGGTATCATGGTGTTATAATACACTGGCAGAGAAAATCCTGTTTTTTTTTTGTTTTTTTTTTGTCTTCTCTTTCTCTTTCATAAAAAAAATTTAAAAAAAAGAGGAAGTAGCCTGCTTTCAAAATTAATTGTTCACTCACCAGTAATTTACCATCATCTGAGGAGACACATTTGTAGTGTTGAAACACAACTGCTATTGTGTAGCAATTTTTAACGTTTTTGTTCTAATCCCCAATAATAAATAATATATATATATATATATATATAAGCACTGTAAATAAATACTTTTAAAGACTCCAGTTGCATTTTTAACTTTTTTTTATATATATATATATATATATATATATATATATATATATATATATATATATATTTTATTACTTTAAACATTATTTTTAGGGGATACTCATATTTGAGTAGGCACTCCATTTATTTATTAAAGAATATATTTATTTATTTTCTTCTACCAACCTGGATGTTCAAGAAATCCTACTAAAGAAAGAATTTGCACTCTCATAAAATTGGTCATCGTTGTTTTCTTTAGTATTTTATATATATATATATATATATATATATATATATATATATAAAGAAAGAACAGTAAGATATATAATCCGGTGTTCTTATTGGTATTTTTACTTTTACAAAATAGTGCTCAATGTAAATTTACAGAGCATTAATATTATAAATTAACTGATTTAAAATGTTTTTTTTCGCTACACAGCATTAACCATGTTTCAAAAATGGAAGCTAAAAGCTTCAAATTTAATTTTGTAATTAAATTAAAAGTGTTAGTTCCATTTCATTCTCAAGCGAATTTTGGAGTAACTTATTTTTTAAAATTTACCGAGTTTTAAAGGTAGAGAAAAATTCATAATTTATATATATTGAAAGAGAGAGGCTTATAGTATGATTTAATTTTCTGAAAAGCAAAATGTTCAAATTAATGAGATTTTCTATTTTATGTTATTTTTAATGATTGCTTAAATCAAAATTTTTATAAATTTTGTATTGCAGGAATTTGATGGCAACACCTTTTTTTTTTTTTGACATCCGGATATATTCTTGACCAATCCACCTGGAATCTATGCAGTATGTTGAAAAGAGCTGTTCATAATTCTATATTCCACTGGAAATACTGCACCAATGATATTAAAAAGCCTTTTTCTATTTCCTGTATTAAAAATTCTTCTTTAACTATAAATTCCTCTGCTTACCACAAGTCATTACTAAGTACCAACTGTCTTCCTTCCAGAAAATCTCTCTTCAGGCTTTATTGCGGGAACAAATCAAATATATTCTCAATAAACCAACTGAGGCACAGCCATGTCATAGGAATTTCTACCTCAGAGAAAAAGGGTTCAGTTTCCTTAAATATCGCTAGAAACTTACCTTCACAACAAGTGAAGGAATTTACGCAGGATGCCAGTGGAAGCAATATAAATAGTAAAACGTCAGTGACGGAAAACATACAGATTTTCTGTTTGTCAAAACGAAATTTGATCTCTGTCTCTGGTGCTGATTCTGTTAACTTCCTTCAGGGTCTTATTACCAATGACATGAATTTGTTTCAAACAGAAAACAATAAAGCTTTGTATTCTATGATTCTCAATGTTCAGGTAGGTTTTTTGTTTTTTTTTTTATTTTTTTTTGTGAACTTGGACCTTAATGCCAAGTTCCACATGCCATGACTCTTTTAATTGTCTCAGTATCAGTTATCTCCCTTTAATTCAACAGCTCAGTTCGAAATTCCAATCACTTGAAGAAGGCCAGGGCATACAACAGCCAAAACGTTGTGAATATGACAACAAAGAAGACAATAACAATGTAAATAGTGTAAATAATTACAATACCTCATCTCAGAAATATAGACAGATATAGAAGAAGCATACAAAAAACCTTGTTTTTCTGCTACAGACATTTATTCTGTTGATGGTATTAAGATGAAGCTAAAAGGTCTCTTGAATATGTCCATTTTTCTTTTTGGTTCTGAAATTATTTATGGGATGGATACGAATGTGTAAGCATGATTGAGCTCAAATGAAATGTTTGTCACGGATTAATTCGACAACGCAGAGAACAAATCACTGTAAGTTCAGACTCGAATATCGGGGGCAGAAAGAAATGCCGAAAACTCAATTCGCAGGTACTATCTCACAAATCCCAGTGCACGTAACCAGTCAGAAAAATAACTCACTCGCCGACGAATGCAGTAGCCAAAATACATCAGTTTTACCTCTCAATTCGAGAAATCCAACTGCTTTTATCAGCCGAGCAGTTTTTTCATTCGTCGCCAGCTGGGAGAGGACCCCAAGTATTTTGCATATCAAAATACTTTTATAGAGATTCCTGTGACGGACTTGTTTTTAATCTAAATATTCCGTCTTCAGCATGTCATGCGGAATACATGCCCCTTTTTCTTTTTTTTTTTTTTTTGGTAAGTAATTTTCTTTTCTGTCGTAGGATACACGCGATGCGCTGTCGCTTGGTTTGACGAGGTAAGTCACCGTTTTCTTCACTATAGTAGTCATACCCAGGACTATTGCTTATTAGAAACATTCAGACTGTACAAATGAGAAATTAGTTTAACATTTAATAATTTTGTTACTATTAATGAGCTTAGTGCAGTTGAGGAAATCTTTCTTAATCAGGATTTTGTTTATTCATTCATGTGTGCAAGACAGATTGCATATCGAAAGCTATTAGTTGAAACCTATTTTTTGATTTTGTTTCTAAAAATCAAATGTGTATCGTTTCCATCATTGTTCTCTTTCTTCCTGTTTGAAATAGAATACAATTTTATACTACATGTGACCAAAAAAAATGCCAACCTTTTTTTAATGAACTTTTATTTATTTACATTATTTGGACTATTGTCCTCATCATTGTCACCATATTTATTACAATGTTTCGGCCACTATACGCTCTGGCCTTCTTCAGGTGGTTGGAATGTCGAACTTAACCCTTTATTTCGCTCACTTGGGGTAAACTGTTCTAGTTCCACATGTTATGTTTAATGGATGTCAGTTATCAGTATCTATCTATATTTCTGATATGAGGTATTATGTACATTATTTACATTATTCAGATATTGTCCTCATCTTTGTCACCATATTTTATTTATTTGTGCTCTTGTGGGTCACATGTATTCATCAGACTGTCATATACTAGACAAGTCTACTATTACTCTGTAATAAATTATTTATATCTTTTTTTTTTTTTCTGACATTGTAATTTTTCATTATATTTTGATATGTCCTTTATTGTTTTATTATGGTCAAGTGATCAAGTGGTTAGATCATTTGCTTTTTCTGACTATGAGACTCAAGTTCAAATCTCACCAGGGTCAATTTGTCAGGAAGGCGACTTTTTGATGTTATCAGTCTGCAGAGGTGATCCCAGCATGCAGCGCCTTTGGAGAGTGCCTGAAAACCATGCCATAGGTTGACCTATGCTTTGTGAGTGAACTTGGATAGACAGAACTATTTGAGGAGTTGTTAATGGTTGTATTAGCATGAGGTAACAAGTCATCGTGACCGAGGACTTCAGCATACCGGCCTTGTTCAGGGTGTTAATTATGCCAAATAATACACTCTACTCTAAGTCTGCTCAGCATAGTTACAGTATAGACCCCTGATGGGCTGTGTGGGTGTTGAGGAAATACAAATGTGCCTGAGAAAGCGCCTGCAGTAGGAATTGGTTAACCACCTTAGTAGATAAACATACATACTCGGATATGAGCAGCCAGCTATTATGTATATATTGTTTTATTAGTTTTAGGATTCTTCTATTTTTACTACATGTTTTATCTTTTTTTCCTTTGTTGACAAAATTTTTTGTTCTAATTTGACAGGGCCGAGTGCTTTATGACATCATCCTTTATGCTGTCCCTACACAAAGGGAAGGAGAAGATCACTTCTACTTAGAGTGTGACACAAATGTTAGTGCAGACATTGTCAAGTTTTTAAAAAGATACAAAATCAGGAAAAAGGTATTTAGTTTTTATCCACTTTTCTTTTTTATGAGTTTACTGTACCATAAAAAAAAAATTGATAACAATATTTAATTAATCTTTCAATTGCATTGGTCATAATTTTCTGC